ACAACCGGGACCACAGTGGGGGTCCCCCCAGGGCTCCACGTGTGCTTGAGTCCCGAAACCCGGGCTCAGAGGCGCGGTCTGGTTCGCATTTATCTTTTGCAGACAGCCTTCAGGTCAGTCGGGTCTGCGGAAGGAGGCAGCCCCGGTGCCCTCTCACGGACGCCTGAGGACAGGGTCTCAATCAGCTGTGCGTTCAGAACCGGCAATCTTGCTTTCCCCAAATGTAGTTGCAATTCTCTTGAGCGCTGCAGCTCGAGGCTGTGGAGTTACGGTGGACTGTGTCCTCGTCACCGCGCCACCAATTTCTACTGATGCTTCAACCCCTGGCAAGATGAAGTCCCCCCTCCCTCTGGCTAGACAGTCAGGCTGGCCTTCCCTCAGGGTCCCTCCCTGTCCCTGCCCCCCAATCGGGATCCGATCCTGGCTCACATTTGCCATCCCGCAGCCGTGAGTTTTCCCCTTGCACAAAAATGTGTTCTTTTTCATTTGAGGATTTAATAAACAAACGTAACCATATCACATGGGGCTCCGCGCCGTCCTTCTGAAAGCAATTCCGCCGTTGAAAACTGAAAAATGGGTGTAATTTGCGTTCAGAAAGTGACGTTAGGGTCACGGCAATTTCCCGGGCCGTTATTTATTTTTACTTTAAAGTCTTAAGGGCAGATTTGCTTATATACTCGGAAACCTTCCAATGCGAGAATACCAGCAATCCCGCTCGCCTTCAACGCGGGGGGGGGGGGTGGAGGACAATTACTGAGTGACGCTAATACGGGGAAACTGAAAAGAAATGTCGATTGTTTTTATTGTAATAGAAGGAGTGCGCAAACATTAAAACCAACCCCGGGTGATCGCAAACAGGCAGGCAGAGAATTAAAAGCGGGTTTCAGGCGGCAGCAGACACCTCCCCTGCCCTCCGGAGGAGAAAGCGGGCGGTGAGCGCTCCAGCCCGCGGGGCAGATCCCACGGCCCGCAGCTCCCGGGACTGGCCGCCGTCGGACCCGCCGCGCGCCGGGAGGGATTTCCGAGCTCGGGCTCGACCCCGCGCGCTGCCGCCCTGATACCGAGGAGTCGGGAGAAAGGCTCTCGAACCGTGAGGCTTGTTGGCGAGAAGGCGGAGCGTCCGCGGAGCGACTCTCCGAGGAGAATCTTCCGGCCGCACTTTGCTCCTCTTCGGGTGTGGGGGGCCCTGCGGCTTCTCCAGCTGGCGCATTAGCGGCCCAGCCAGGTCCAGGCCAGCAGGTCAGTGTATGGGCGCCTCCTGCACCCCCACCCCCGGGGCCTGGCTGGGACTGAGGACCCCTGCCCCACACTCCAAGTCTCCGCGGTTGTTCCCTTTAGCTGCCGCCCCCACCCGCGTTGATCCGGCGGGGCCAGCAGTCCAGGTTGAACCCTCCTTCGCCTGTCCGGCTGCCACTTGCAGCGGCAGTTGCTGGGAGGCCCAGTGGGCAGAGGAGTGGCCGCTGACCCTGCGAGGCCGGGACATAGCAGTGGGCCGAGGTCTGGAGAAGCAGGGCCTCTTTTTCCCTCTAAGCCGCACGCAGTCCCCCACTCACCATGGAAGGGGCTCTCCGGTGGGGGAGCCCGACTTGTTTTACCGCATTTCCCCTCAGACGGCTGGAAGTCACTGTACTCTGAAAACCCCTGTCCTGGAGCTCGGACTCTGGCTGCCCTAGCGATCTCCGCAACTCCCACGAGTGGGCGAGAGGCTGGCACAGTCGCCTGGGCCTCGCTCGGGGTCCGGTCTGTTCCCAACAGGGGCGCAAGTTGGAAGAATCAACTCCTTAATATTCTCTGCCAGTTCTGCCCGTCGTAACTGCAACTGGGAACAGAAGGACCCCTCTCGGGCGCATGCACACGCCCCCCTCGCGCCTTACCCTCTCTCAGCCGCAGTCATAACTGACCTGTGGACCCGAGAAGCTGGCACCCGGCGGAGCAGCTCAGCTCGGCGTCGGTCCAGGTTGGGGGTCGAGGACCGACTCCCCTCATCCCGTACAGCGTGCAGTGCCCGGTTCTGACCTCGGCAGCCCTCGGGTGCAGTCTGCCGGGCCACTCGAAGGCGGCCTCGGAAGGAGCTAGATTCCTGTTCCATCGCATCTCTCCTCAGACCCAGCTAGTGCGGGGGTGGGGGGAGGGACTGCAGGTGACCGTCCGCAGCACTGGGACCGCTGACAGATTTATGGAGACATTACAGCATCTGGCCTGGGTCCGCGGGGCAGGGTGGAGCCCAGCTGAGGAGGCGCGCTGCGGACCATAGCTCCCAGCCGCACGCCCCAGCCCAGCCGCTCCTGGAGTTCCCGGCCCCGGCTTCCCTCAGGCGGGTGGACACCGGGTACGGTCAGGGTGCCGATTCCCCAACCCGATGTAGCCCCCTTTTTAACACGCTCTGGCTCGGCCAACTTCCAGTCTCTACTGAGTAAATATTTACCAAAGCACGGGTCGCTCCTCCGAGGAGGCCTCGACAGCGTCTACGGAAAGGCTTTTGGCTTCTCTCCGGCCTGAGCCAGCTGCAGGCCTTACCGGTTGTGTTTTGGTTTGGGTCTTAAATTTCCTCTTCTAGTAGAATTTCTTCCGATCTCTGTGTGATCTCCTGGGTCCAGAGCGGGCAGTAACCAAGGGGCACTGACCCCAGCTGACCTTTGTTCTTAAAGTCCTGCATCTCTACGCCTACCGTAAGAGCTTATTGGACCTTAGTGAGCGCTCTCTTCTTTCCTTCCCTTAGATGTCTAGTGGTCTCTCGCTCCGGCTCAACTGATCGCCGGCTACTCGCCCCCGCACTAAGTGCGCGCCCCCGGGAGGGTTCAGCATCTGCCGCTTTGCTGGGATCCCTCCCGCAGTCCCCGTCTGCCCCTGCAGCTTCGGCTCCCCTTGCTCCCAGACCGCGCTCCTGGGCTTGCCGCGGATACTTACAGACCCAAACACCTAAAATTGATTCTTCGCGCGCTCCGGAGAATGCACTGAGCCAAGAGAGCTCAGCTCCCTCAACCGCCGGCTGGACTCTGCCTTGGTGCGCCCAGGGGGTCCGCAGCAGTTAAGGGCACGCGGCCACAGCCACGTCCAGCAGGTGGGAATGGAGAGATGGCAGCAGACCTGTGCGAAAGCGCGGGAGATGTGTGGCAGCTGAAGGAGTCGGCGGAGAACGAAAGGGGATTGTTTTTTAAGTCTACGTAGCCGGAGCTCTAAACTAAGGCTCTTCTGGATCACTCCGGGCTGGTGCTATAGAGCTGGTAAAGCTCTCCCAGAGCCACCAGCCCCCCAGCGAGGTATTGGGTCTAGCCAGCAGGTAGCCTGAACGGCCTTGTACCCGCAGAGCAACCCCTCAGACTCTTCGAAACGCTCCCTGGGCGCACGAAAGTGGGGCAAAGAACCAGCGCAGAGGTCGCTGCTCACTGCGTGTGTCTGTTGGGGGAAGGGGTGTTCCTCATCAAGTTGCGGAGCATATTAATTCCTTCTCGCAATCCCAAAGCAAAGTCACTCGTAAGCTCTCCTCAGATATCACAAAGTCTCGATTAATTTACACCCCAGCCCTAAGAAGGAGCTGCTGCTTCTTAAATCTTGACTTCCCAAAGGCCCTCCTTGTAAAATGCTAGGCGGTGTCATCCAAACAGGTATTGGGGGTCAGACCAGGAATAAATTGCTTTCAAGATAAACTTCGAGAAGATTTTAAATATTTGAGACCAACCAACAAAAAAGGAGACAAGTTAAAGTATTTATAGTTGTTGGTGGGACTTATCACTAACTCCATTGCAAAGAATTAAAGGTGTTTGAATTCATCTTTATTTTTCAAACCCTTCACACTCTAAGTAAGTTTGAACTTAGAGTGTGCCCCCACCATAAAAACGTGGGGACCTGGAGATCACTGTTCGTTTCAAGAAGCACAACTGATCATCAGTTTTTCCTGGGTTCTTATCATTTCCTGGCCCGGAATCTGGGTCCAGGCAGCTTCCTGGTGTGTAGACTCGAGCCACACACATCCCTCGGGACTGTGGGAGAATCAGCCCGAAACCCGTGTGCGCAAGAAGGAGGGTTGTGACTGTCAAGTATCCTCGACCCGAAATTGTACAAATTCCCAAATTCATTAAAAATGTTCTTCATTTTTATTATTTTGATTCACATTCTCCACAATATGAATAACTTTGGCTGCCAAAAAGTGTACTGTACACTTTAGATCAAACTTGGAGTGAACGAAAGTGAAAAATCAGAAGTAGAACTGCAGGGCATCTGGTAGATAAATAGAAGAGGCGGGAATTGTATACGCAGCCTCGGTGTCCGCCTTCTTGGGAATAAGTCTCTTTCATATTTAAACAAAACCCCCTTCGCAGTGGCTCACTGGTATGAATACCCGGCGAACAGTGGCACCGAGAACCGGCGGCCCGGCACAGGGGCTGGGCACGGCGGAGCGCTGGCCTCGGTGGCTAGCGCCTCACGCACCGGCCGTCGGTGGACGTGGGCCTTGAGCGCTCGCAAGTTCTCGGCATACGGCGCGCCCCTGCCCCAAGGCTGCGTGCCTGAGGGTTGGCCCCAAGCTCCTGGACGATCCCACGGGGCCTGGGGGGGGCGGGAGGGGGTCGCCGCGGGACGGGTCTCTGGCCTTAGCAGCAGCCCCCACTTCTAGCTCGACCTCCTGCAACCTCGTCGTCTCTCCAATGGGCCTACCTTCTCACACCTGTGCTCTCGCCACCTGGCATGAACTGAAGTAAGGAAGAATCTGTGGGTGACAGTTCCCCTCTTGACAGCCCCTAGAAGCCTGCATGACGGGTCATTCTAAGACAACCTGAGACAACGGTGGCGCCCACCTCCCACCTAGAGTCTTAACTTCAATTCTGAGACATCCCCCGTTCCCCCAAAGAGGTCTCCTCGGCCGCTTTCCCCTTCGAGTCACTCATATTCTGACCAAACATTTTCATTTGCTTATTCAGCGTTTTTACCAGCCTGGTTTCGCTGTCTGTTTGTGCCGCCCCTGGGAAGATGTCAAACACCTCTTTTCATTGTACTGTATTTAGTCACTCAGGTGCGGAGCCAGCCTGAAGGAGACAGCGGAAGGAGTTTCTCGAACTGCGCTGTCGCTCACGGGGCCGCACCAATCAGCACGCAGTTTGCCCTCGGGTCCGCCTCTTTAGAGGCGTGTCCCTAGTGAGTGATAGACGGAGCCGCCCGGCCCTGCTCAGCCCAGCCCACGTTGCTGCTTAGATTGAAATGCAGAACTCAAGCCTCTTTCATCGGGGCACAGACTTCCTTTTACTCCTTCCTTTTGCACTCTCGCCGCCTCCACCCGGGGAGAATCGGAGGCACTCGCGGCCGGGGGCAGCGACAGGCCGGGCCACTGAGGCCTTGCGAAAAGTTTCTTTCTGGAACTGCGGAACTGGGGCCCGGCTGGTGTACTGCTCGGAGCAATGGGTGAGTGGCGGCGGGGGACGCTGTCAGAGCCGAGAAGAGAGGGAGGGAGCGAGCGGGCTAGGAAGGGAGGGAGGGAGGGAGGGAGCGCAAGGGCGCGCGCCACTGAGCGCTCACACTCTCCGTATTGACTTTGCTCGTGTTCCTACAAGTTGTAGGAACACGCTAAGGGTCAGCGGCGCGCGGTTCAGTCTGAATGGTAGCTGCTGGGTGGCTGCTGATGCCATTTTCTGATTTTAAGAGAAGGGAGTTATGGCATCAGCGAGCCCCGCAGCCCCAGTAGCAAACCAAGTTTTGTTCCGTACACGCGCACACACTCAGACAAAACAACAACAACAAGATCTTCAGCTTCCCCTAGGCTGTCTAAGTGCGCGGGTCTCCAGGCGGGGCCCTGGGGATGGGGTGGGGAGGAGGGGAGAAGCCCAAGGACTTTGGTGCCGAGCAGGCGAGAAGGGGCGCGTTCAGGCGTCAAGACCGATTTCCCCGCCTGCTTTGGAGACTTGTGAGCGCTGGGAGCGGCCCTGCGTCTCACCACTTTACATGTCTGTAGCAGCCGCCCTTCACGACAGGAATGAGGGAGGGCGTCCGAATGGACCGCGGCGATTTGGGGCCATTCGGCAATGTTTGGGGACCGTCTGGCTTGGGGACAGCCCCCGTCGTTAGTCCGGGGCAAGTGTGTCCGCCCGGTTCGCGGACGCGCACGGAGGCCGACAGGCAGGCGGCTGTCCCAAGCGGCGGGTGCGCGTCCCCGCGCGCTATGTGTTCGTTTTGCAGAACCAGCCTTCGGGGAGGTGAACCAGCTGGGAGGAGTGTTCGTGAACGGGAGGCCGCTGCCCAACGCCATCCGGCTTCGCATCGTGGAACTGGCCCAACTGGGCATCCGACCGTGTGACATCAGCCGCCAGCTACGGGTCTCACACGGCTGCGTCAGCAAGATCCTGGCGCGCTACAACGAGACAGGCTCAATCTTGCCAGGAGCCATCGGGGGCAGCAAGCCCCGGGTCACCACACCCACCGTGGTGAAACACATCCGGACCTACAAGCAGAGGGACCCCGGCATCTTCGCCTGGGAGATCCGGGACCGCCTGCTGGCAGACGGCGTGTGCGACAAGTATAACGTGCCCTCGGTGAGCTCCATAAGCCGCATTCTGCGCAACAAGATCGGCAACTTGGCCCAGCAGGGCCATTACGACTCATACAAGCAGCACCAGCCAGCACCGCAGCCTACGCTGCCCTACAACCACATCTACTCGTACCCCAGCCCCATCACGGCGGCGGCCGCCAAGGTGCCCACGCCACCCGGGGTGCCCGCCATCCCAGGTTCGGTGGCCATGCCGCGCACCTGGCCCTCCTCGCATTCTGTCACCGACATCCTGGGCATCCGCTCCATCACCGACCAAGGTAAGGGCTCAGAGGCCTAGTGTGTGGATGCGCAGAGCCTGCCCCCGCACCCCCGCGGGGGACCCCAGTATTTGCGGCCTCGGGGCCCTTGTTTATCCCACCACCTGAGGCTTTTTCCTTTGGAAACTTCAGGAGTCTTCCCAGGGGGTGTCATGATCTCATTAGCTTGCAACTCATGCCCCTAGTTTCCTTACCACACACAGTCTCCTGCCTCATCTCAAACTACCAGACCCGTAACATCCCCCCATCCCCAACACATGGTTCGCATTTTCCACCCTCCCCCGCCTCTCGCGCCGCGGCAGCCTCAGCCCGGCTTGCTCACTTGGAGAGCGCGGCCGGGGCCGGACTTGGGGCAGAGCCCGGGAGGCCCGAGCCGGCATGGGGCTGCCGGCTGCAGACGCCGCTGCGGGCAGCTTGCTTTGGGATCAGATGCGGTCTCGAGGAGTCCGGCACGCTGGGGAAAATGTAGTGTTCGTCTCGGATTCTGGCAATCAGGCCAAATTTGCTCAGGCAGGAAGTTCAAATGTCACCTAATTGGTTTCATTCTTATGCTTCACTTCTTTTTCCTCGGAAACAGAGGTCCCGAAGTCACTACTAGCATCTTTGTAGCTCATTCCAGGATTCTCTCTCTCTCTCTCTCTCTCTCTCTCTCTCTCTCTCTCTCTCTCTCTCTCTCTCTCTCTCTCTCTCTCTCTCTCTCTCTCTCGTCATTTACTCTTTATCTTAACACTTCACTCATACATACCGTGGGAAGAGAGGTGGCACCAGCCATGGCGGTGATGGAGACCAAATGCATGGCGGTTCCATACGGTCCTCTTTCTACTGTTCTTTCCCGTTTTCCTTGCGCCTGCCGCTTTCCTTTTGGGGCCCCTGCCCCCCGGGAATGCAAGTGGACATCTCTCTAGTTCCCGCACGTTTTCAGCGGTGCCACCCCATTGTTTCTTTTCTTTCTCACCCCTGACCTTGCCCTGTCATGAGCTTCTTTTCTGCGTGGTCAGAAGGATTCCCCGAGTCCTCCTGCTCAGTACGGCTTCCGCAGGAGACCTGAGTTTGTTTTCTTTCTTTGCGTTGTTGAAAAAGAAAAGAAAAGAAAACAAAAGAAAAGAAAAAAGGCTTTAACTTCTTTCTTGGTAGGGAACAGAAAAAAAAAAAAGTGAAAATGCCCTAGACGCAGAATTTAAGTAGTGCGGAGATACAGAGCCTACCTTCTTAATTCCTCGGCCTAGAGTTTAAAAAGTGCAGAGGAAAAATTGAATAGGAAAAGAGGAAATAGTTCCTTTAATTATTTCCTGCCTTTCTTGGTTGCCACCACATTGGCATAATTATCTTTTAAAGTAATTAAAGCAGGACCCTGATTTCTCATCTTCTTGTTTTCTGACTGTGAATTTACAAGAGCCCAGTTTTGTTTTATTCGGAGCTAGTTGGAGCTTTAGTTGGAGAGAGTTTGCCCTTGATTTATAGGATAAACTGACCTCACTGACATTTAAAGGAAGCCCCTGTTCATGGGAAAGTGTGAGATCAGCAGAAATGGGGACTCACAGGGAGATCTCAATTTCTTAAGATAACTTCAGGCTTGTGCCCACCGACTGCCTTTTGTTTGGGAAGGTAAAGAGAGACAGGCAGTTCTGGATCAAAACACAGTTTCCTGGTGTGAATGGGAACACAATCTAGTTCTTTGGATAGGGGGAAGCAGAGCAAGAAAAGGCTGATAGAGTTGAAGAGAAAACTTTTCTTCCCTAGGGATCCTACAATCAGACCAAATGTCAGTTGGGAAAGTATTGGATTATGGAGAGGAGCAACTCTTCACTATCATATTGTTGTTGATTCTCGATGCCAGCTTTAAACGACCTAGTTTCTGACAAATCTGTGAATATAAAACGATCATTTCTACAAAACGATCACACCTTCTGAGCACTGTGTCAGATGGAAGTGTTTAAAAATCAAGTTATAGTGGCTTTGTCAAACTTTGTTCCTCCAGTCATTGGACCCAAAGATAAAAATACATTGTTCATAATCTTCAAATATCTCTTCTTTAAAATTACACCTTCACTTAGAGATGGCAAAGGATTCAATATGCACAACACAACCATAGGTGTTGTGGTAATCACCTTACACCACAGAATTTTCTTTGCATCTCTGTCAAGAACAGAAAGGATAAGTGATGGCTTTGCTCCTTTTCTTAACACTTAATTCTACTTTCATTTTCTTAACCTTTTATTCCACTTTCTCTTTCTTGTGTTTTTTAAAACCCTTTCTTTATAATCCTGCTATTGACATTCGTGGCATTTATAGTGGTAATTGCAGGATTTATTTTTTGAGTCATACGCATATTTAATGTGTAGAGATAGAGCATCAAGGGTCGTCCTATGCACACCCAAGGTAGAAATCTATGCATGTGTATTTTGCATGTGTATTGTGGGCATCGTTTATTTGCTTGCAAAGGACTTTGTGGGTCTTTTGTTCTATCTATTGATATAAGCACCAGATCCCTGGAGCACAGTGAGCACTTTTCTGGACGTCTCTCAGCTCCAGCACAGTCACCCTCAGGTCAGGAAGCTCCTCTTTGCCTCTTCAGCCCGCCCCAGTCTCAGATCATAGTTAACCCCCAGTCGGTCGCCCTGGGTTAGGATTGGGGAGGTGAAGAAGGGCCCATCTAGCCTCACGGGTTCTTTCCTTGATTTGGGAAAATTTGGGAAACTCTCAGGTTTCTTGCACTTGTTTTCCCAGGGAATCGAGGAGGGGAGGAGGGATATAAAAAACCGGTTGAAAAAGAAAAAAAATCCTCCCACAGGCGTAGGTGAGAGACCTCGGAGAGGCCTACTCAGGAGAGTAAAGCTCTTGTCAGGCCGTGGGCTGGAAGCGGGGAGACCGCGGCTGGGCCCAGCGTCCCTGGGAGGCCTAGGGCAGGGGCTGAACGTCGGTCAGAGCCCTCGAGCTCTCTGGTCGCAGACTCGGGTCCCCTCTCGGGAAGGGGGCGCGCGGGTCGGGCCTCCAGCCTGACACCTTCTGCTCCTTCCCAGGAGTGAGCGACAGCTCCCCCTACCACAGTCCCAAAGTGGAGGAGTGGAGCAGCCTGGGCCGCAACAACTTCCCTGCCGCGGCCCCGCACGCGGTGAACGGGCTGGAGAAGGGAGCCTTGGAGCAGGAAGCCAAGTACGGCCAGGTGAGGAGGCGAG